AACTCTGCTCTTTAATGCAAAATAATGAAATACATTCATCTGATCTCTTGCCCACAGACAACCAATGCAAAAAATATATAAATAGATAAAAAATTAATAAATAAAATTAATTAATTAAAAAATCACATTACAGCCATATGGTATATCAATTTCATATTCTCTATACGTCATCGCCATTGTCATCGTTGTCGTTCTCTTCTTCTTCTTCTTCTTCTTCTTCTCTTTTTCTTTTTTTTTCTCTTTCTCTTTTTCCTTCTCCTTCTCCTTCTCCTTCTCCTTCTTTTCTTGTTTCTTTTTCTTCTAATTATCATTATCAGTTATTGCAATTTTTAACATCACACGAATACAACATTCTCTAAAACAACAAATGTACTTCCTTACATATATACATCAGGAGCTTAATATCACTCTGGATTTCCTCTTGAGTAGCACCACTAGCTGGAGACCTCACAAGCAGAGGTTCTAAGTAACTGCCGGCATTACCAAGCTGGTTCATGACCTGCGAGAAAGCTGAAAAAAAAAAAATTAGAACGTGAGGAAATTCCATGGTTCTGGAGAATTCGGAAACTTTCAACAGTACGTACAGTTGCAATGGTATAATGTTGGAAATTTTTACCTAGATGAAATTCCTCGATTTCTGGAGGATTTGGGGATTTTTATCTATTTCTAAAGATGCGAGGGAATACTGTCTGAAATCCAATTATCCATCTGCGAAAATGCGAAGATATGGTGGGGTCCTGAAGATATCAGGTGTGAAATTCTAGCAAAATAAGAAAGTGTGAGGTTCCTTAAGGGTTAAACATTGCATACTTCAAGATGCATTTCTTTAGTTCATATTTCTCAAAACAAGCTTATCCTAACGACTGTACGTCTCCCTCTGTTTGGATGTTTGGATATCATAGAGGTATGTGAATATGAATAAAAATATGAATATTAATGTGAATGTGGATGTGGATGTGGATGTGGATGTGGATGTGGATGTGGATGTGGATGTGGATGTGGATGTGGATGTGAATGTGGACGTGGGTGTGGGTATGGGTTTGGATATTTGTGTGGGTAATGGTATGGGTGTGGATGTGGGTACAGGTGTGGGAGTGTGAGTGTGAGTGTGAGTAGGAGTAGGTGTGGGAGTGGGAGTGGGAATGGGACTAGGAGAGAGGGAGACACTCTCTGGAATTTCTAAGACTAAAAAAAAAAAAAAAAATGGATATGAACAGCCAGTCTCCCATTTCATACCAAAAGAAATATCAAGAAAATCTAATTCAAGTCACACACTGACATTCCATTCCTCACCTGTGGCAGTTGTCCGTTCCTTTGGGGGAAACCAGAGGGCAGCTATCATGGGGGGGGCAGCCATTATGAGAGTTCCTGGGATGCCCACAAAAATGGCACAGATGTGACACATTCTGCAGTACAGTTATTATTGTTATAATCATTGTAATGTGTGTAATAAAGATAATTGTACCTGTTGATGAAGATGGTATGTTATTTGGTCATTTTGATTGATAAAGGCTTTAAAAAAAATTAATGTGTAAGATCCACTAGCAATCATGTTCATTATTTTTCGCTACACAAAGCAATATCATTTATAAGCGTATTCTTCATCTTTTTTATTTTTTACCGCAAGTCTCATAAACTCGTCTTACATGATCAAATTCTTTTCTCTGTCTCTTCCATACAGTCCTTTACCATATCTCCCAAGACCATGAATCACCTAAGACTTTTCAGTGAAAACAGTGGCCACTAATTCTATGTAACTAGTGTGCCTTGCCGTCATATGACTATGTAGAGAAAGATTTTGAAAAAAAAAAAAAAAAAACATTACCATAGGATCATCTTTTCTTTTTGAAAGTTTTATACATTCTAAACAAGATAGGTGACATAATAGTCTAAGCTACTGTATGTATTACAATGCATTCCAGCAGTCAATTATTGAGTCATTCAGTCAAAATTATAATTAGGTATGAAATTTTGTGCAGAGTGAATATTTAGTCTACAGAACTACACTGATTCTTGCAAAATGGAGGCCAATTCAAAATGCAAAAGGTGAATATACTGAACTCCAGTAAACCTTAATTCCATCTAAAATTAGAACAAAGTAATTATGTTCATATATTTATTATTCAATGACCACAAGAAATTTCCAATCTATGCAAAAACAACGAACATCATTATCTAATTACCTCAATACTTGAATATTTACTGAGCTATCCTAAACTTAAATCAAAACCATATTACAAGAAAACAAAAAGCAATGCCCCCCCCATATATACTTACGCTGTGAAGAACGAGTCAGAGTGCGTTAAAAAGGGAATTATCCTAACCACCGTCCCAATGGCTATCAGGATCACGCATGTCAGGACTCCCACTCGAAGTCCTTTGGTTTCCATTAGCCAGCACATGGGTATGACAAACAAGACGAAGGTAATGGTACCCCAATTAGCCATCATGGCTACTGTCTGAGACCCCCATCCTGCGAAGGCCCTGTCGACACTCTCGC